CTCAGAATGTGTACATGTATAAACGTGAATACTATGAAGTGGGTGTGCCAGAGGGAATTTCCCTTTTGGGGGTTTCTTTCTGCCCCAAACATCCATAATTGAAAGTGCTGAAGACATAGTGGTGGCGAATTTTTTCGCAGGTTGCGACAAATATCTGAAGAAGTTCTCCAACCACAGACAACTCTGAATACATGTACAAAGGTGATCTGCACAATGCCCTACAATTTAATTTCACTCAACACTGTAGAATCACAAAGCTGATATACATGTAGATCCCGGTAGACAGGCACCACTTATTACGACAGCTGTCAGGATGAGTTATCATTTCGAAAAGCCAACCAGTGGTAATCATTACGACTGCTGTCAGGATGAGTTATCATTTCGAAAAGCCAACCAATGGTAATCATTCTACTTATGAATAATAATAGTTTATTTTTATATAGCGCATAACATTAATGAATGCAAACGCACAAAATCTCAATATGCTTTACAGATTAAAACGGCAGGAAATATGATTCCATAAAATATTGTACAATTAACAAATTACCAATATAAAAATGCATCACAAATTATAAGGAGTAAAATAACATTAAAGTGCAATGGAGTACAACAAACCAAGGATGTTAAAGGGAGGGCTTGCGATAACACTATGTGGATAGATCTCTTTTGGAAGAGATATGGTTCTGATAAGAACCTGTGAGTGTGCACTATCTTTAGTCTATCTCCATCATGCAAAGCTTCAAGTCTTATCAAACCTGGAAGGAAAAATATAAGTTAAAATTAACACACAGGATTAAGGAACAATCACTTATAAGCCTGTCAATAAAAATGTGTTTTCACATTTTTTTTGAGAATATAATATGGCAGTTTATCAACAGGCAAGGTGCTGATACAGAAAAGGCAAGGTGCTGATACAGAAAAGGCACACCTGTCATATTGATTCAGACTATATCGAAGTTGAACTAGGCATGTTTGGACTGACAAATATGCGACTACAGCATAAACATGACCCGAAGCAGAATCTGATCGTGTGCCTTTGGACTTTTGCCCACCCGTTACCCCAGAATCTGATCGTGTGCCTTTGGACTTTTGCTCACCCGTTACCCCAGAATCTCATCGTGTGCCTTTGGACTTTTGCCCACCCGTTACCCCAGAATCTGATCGTGTGCCTTTGGACTTTTGCCCACCCATTACCTCAGAATCTGATCGTGTGCCTTTGGACTTTTGCCCACCCATTACCCCAGAATCTNATCAGAATGTGTACATGTATAAACGTGAATACTATGAAGTGGGTGTGCCAGAGGGAATTTCCCTTTTGGGGGTTTCTTTCTGCCCCAAACATCCATAATTGAAAGTGCTGAAGACATAGTGGTGGCGAATTTTTTCGCAGGTTGCGACAAATATCTGAAGAAGCTCTCCAACCACAGACAACTCTGAATACATGTACAAAGGTGATCTGCACAATGCCCTACAATTTAATTTCACTCAACACTGTAGAATCACAAAGCTGATATACATGTAGATCCCGGTAGACAGGCACCACTTATTACGACAGCTGTCAGGATGAGTTATCATTTCGTGTGCCTTTGGACTTTTGCCCACCCGTTACCCCAGAATCTGATCGTGTGCCTTTGGACTTTTGCCCACCCGTTACCCCAGAATCTGATCGTGTGCCTTTGGACTTTTGCCCACCCATTACCCCAGAATCTGATCGTGTGCCTTTGGACTTTTGCCCACCCATTATCCCAGAATCTGATCGTGTGCCTTCGGACTTTTGCCCACCCATTACCTCAGGATTTAGCTGAAAAGGTATGCCGTGCCAATATTTTGCTATTATTAGACCTTGCCGTAACATTGTAAGTGGAACCGACTGCAGGTCTGTGGCCAGGTGTTAATGGTTTACAAGCGAACATCAATGGCAAATACATGTAAGTCTTGTGTTACTGAGCAGACCCACTCAGAAATAGAGGGGAAACAGCTAGTTCCAATGTACAAATTTTATTTGGGTGTATGAAGTGTATTATTAAAAAATGAAAGTCAACAGGGTTAACAATGAATAACTGTCTGTTGGACTAATTGTTCATGCCCTACGTAAGCTGCTGGCTGCCAGAAATGTAATGGTTATCAGGAGAGGCAAAAGGGGAGATGATAACTCCAATCAAAGTTGGATTGAGAATTAACAACTCGCACATTTTTGCTCAACAAGAAAACTCTGAAAATGTCCAAAAGAATGTCCAGTATGCGAAAAGAACAAAAGCGAGGATGCAACATATTCTAATTCCGTGCATAAAATCCAGGGTGGGCTGTGAGAACAAAAAGGTGTAAGGCTGCAAGAGGGCGCTAGCCAGAATTATTTATGCATGGCCGCATACCGCACACATGTTCTGCAAAAGTACAATACATGATGCAGTTGAAAGGAATGGAATCAATGTGACTCACTGACTGAACAAAGCAAAGGGAACCAGCGTCAGGTGAGAGGAGGGCGAACACTTGATCTGGTTACACTAGGATTATAATGGCAGTGTATTTTATTTTGCACCACAGACTTCACAAAAAAACATTCTGGTTCCGCCAGCAATGGATATTTGGGGCACTGAAAACAGTTGTCAGGCACAGACGGCTGACGAAATACCCTTGTATGTAAAAATGTACTTGAATGCTTGATGAAGTTTATTTATTTTATCCTGAAATATACAGCACGTAGTTTCATGTAACCAACTGAAAATCCCCACAAAGGTTGTACTCTGACACAAATTAAATAAGTTTAAAGTTTTGTAAGTGTAATAAGTATGCCTACAGTGTTTCAGAATAGATGTTGCAATCTACCAAATGGGACATTTACTGGACCTGTGACCTTGCAAAAAAGCCCTTATGAGACCTACAGTATGCATCTCTAAAGAAACATGCGTGTGAGCAGAAATTAACTGTAATGTTTTGTCAACTTTTCATTTAAAGTTTAACAATAGGCTTTGTTGTCTCAAATCCTGATTTATTGTTACAAATTTTTGGAGTACATTTATTTGCTAATTACCCTGCAAATTTCCAGTTGTGGACATTTGAATCAAAACAGCATCTAATTTTCTTAAAGATCCATCACATTAGTAATTCACAATTGAATTTTCGGGAAATTTAGTTATATTTAAAGCACTATAGTAGGTACCGTAAAAGCTAAATAAAGATTGCTACTGATGTCAAAAGCATGAGTTGAAGTTCTCCTTCATATCAGACAAACTGAAAACAGAAGACATCAGGAGCATCCAATAGAAGCCTGTTTTGATGATGTCACACTGTTGCTCTGCAATTATACAAGTGCTTTATTATTTTGGGGCAAACACGCCTGCATGCATGAGCGCCGTGCTTACTCTCACTTAACTGTGAATTAAAACAGGTTGTCCAACCTGTGAGAGCATCTTGAAATTGTTTTTCGATCGACAATGTTAATCAACATTGGATCGTATGATAAAGTTGAACAGTCCTAATTTGAACCGGAGTAAGGTCCTGATAAATTTCAGGTAGATGGCAGTGGTCATTTGCCGAGAATGACATCTAACTTTATCTGGTTTTTTTTCTCTGTTCTTGTGCAATAAAACTCTATTACAACTCTAGGGGATGAGAGCCCTATTATGACATCATCAAATTGCTAGATTGTTTACCACCCTCGTCGACACTTTTTTTTACTCCGAGCATTCTCACAGTGGAACTGAACTCTAAAAATGATGATTTTTTTTAAATACATGTACCAAGAAACACTGCCACATTAGTCATGAGGTTTGGGTTTGACTAATTAGATAACCATTTTATGTCAAAGCAATGTGATTAATCTTCAAGACATGAAACTCCTAATGAAAAAGCTGTTGTTAAGCTGGGACTTTTTGTGAGCATGCAATCGCTGCACTTTCAATAGGCTGTTTCCTGTCAACAAATGCATTTGGAGTAATGCAGAAGGATTCAAGGAACATGATATTCAGCAAGAAATACGCCCTTTTCACAGGATGACTAAAAATCTCGCAAGGTTTGAGAAATTTTCTCATGCTTGGTAATCTTACAAAAGTGCCATCGTGTGAAAGGTCGCCAATGCTTGAGAGTGACAAGCATTCTCGGTGAATCCTTTGGAGGAGATATTTTGGAGGAGGTCCGGACCTACGACAAAATCTTCTGCTAATGGAAGATTTCTCAAGCAACCCATGAGAAACGGTTGTGTGAATGGACGCACTGTTTATTGTACAACGTCCCCTGTAATAACCTACACAGTGCGCTACTTAGTGACCTCCAGCCCATTTCAGGTATGTCCAGCGATCGTGGCACTGCTCACCGGTGCCATCGGGAATACCTCCTGCAACTTCCCACCACACCTGGCTACTGTGGACCATGACCATGCTAGGGTTGAGTGTTGAAAGCGCTTGAGCCATTAAGGCCACTAGTCATGGAGGAAACTGTTACAGTGGCTGCCATGGTCAGCCATAGCTTGGTATCTATTACTCACCATGAGCACATGGGACTGTACTCCTGCTGGAGACGAAATTGCTTATCTCATTTTTGCCAGCCGAGCCCAGGAAACTGGCGGGCTGTAAGCTTAACAGTTTTGACATACATGTACTTCAACAATGCAGGAGCATGCTGTGGATGTTTTCAGAGGTAAATGGTCAAAATGTACTGACTGCAGAGGCCCATTTGTCAACTGCGGTGATCTTTTCATTACGCATGGCCGAGGATTTACGAATAACCATTCTGTCGCCCTCAAAAACAAGTAAAACTTCCTCATCTTCTGCCCAAGCAACTGTGAATGCTGCCGGCTCTTGATAATGCACGGCCATATCTACATAACTATTATTCAAAATCTTTTATTTAATGGCCAACGATACATATACATGTACATGGTACCCTAAAGGGGTCACTACTGATGATATCAATGGGCCTACATCAAACCCATTGCTAAGTCGGAACCTTGAGTCTTGAGACAATGTAGTATCCTGCAGGCCTTGCTGAAGCTGGACTTATTGGGCAGGTGGAGAAGTACATGTGGCTTGGTGCCCTTTTTTACCCCTGTCCGTGTCCGCTAGGCATGAAAGTGGTGGAGCATTTCACTTCGGCTGAGGCACTGTTCAGCCATCTTGAATACCAACAAGTGGAATGATGCAGAGATACTTCCCATGTGTTGGAATGCAAAGCAATGACTGGAAGTCCCCACTTCCTTTCCAGAGGAGATGAATCTTAACCGGACGACAGGGAGATAGTTGGACAAAATAGCCTGAAAGATGCTCACAAAAGATGACATTTCCTTCTGTACAAGCAGTACTGTGCAGAGTGTTCAGTACTGAGTTTGAAGGTCCTCTAAGAAAACCCTGACTAGCTCCAGAAGGCCGAAACATTGCCTATCTCTGCAGAGGACAGGTCCACAAATTTGAAGAAAAATCTGACTGTAGCTATTGTTCCTTAATGGCTAAGACAAAAGTGACAACGCGGCAACTTTTCCTCCCCACCCAAATTTTTATCCTCAAAGAGAAAAGAACCAACCCAACTTCTCATTGGCTTCAGGCAAGGCCTTGCCAAGTATCAAAGCTAGAACAAAACTCTGATTGGATGGTTGCCCCTCCAAGCTGTCTTTGCCATTTGTCAACAATCTGCAGCTCCTGATTGGCTGTTTTCTGGATGAGAAGATCCCAATTTTGTCACAAATTTTCAATGGGTTTCCGTGTATAAAATGCCTCCTAATAAAAATATAGCCTATGTACCTGTACATGTAATACAAATGCGGTGTAACAGGAAGCTACTACCCATGGAAATGCTATCCCTTCTGTCAAACACCTAAAGTGAACGCAGGGTACAATCTATTGCCAAATTTGCTACTCATAAATATTTTATTCACGAAGTGATAAAATTTAATATGCTACGCATTGATCAATATAAATATAGCTCAGTAATGTATCGGCAAAGCATGGAAACTCAAAGAATGCAAGAGTATCAAGTAACATGTCCATTTGCTCTGACGCTAAGAAAAAGAAGGGCGATTATTATCACTGCTCAGCTATGTATTACGGTAGATAGATGGCATACTACAGATGATCAAATTGGTCTGGTGCAAGGGAAATATGCATATCTGTAGGTACACGTAGATGCTGTTTGGGTAAGATGAATGCCGCACGCACAAATAACACACCAATAATAATACTATCAAGTCAACAGTTTTGAACAACAAAATGTTGAACAAAATATGACTTTTCTCACCTGTTGGGTAACCGTAAGTTGTCCAATCACATCTAAAGGAAAGACACTGAGTAGCACAAAAGACTTCATTGGCCCTGTTGACGACTGTAATAAAGACAACACAATTAATTCAGATGCTATTTAAGTAACTGTTTCATTACACAGAGCCAGAGCTGTATATGGAGAAAGTAGTGATGGCTTCAGATATTGGAAACAAAATGGCTTTTCAGTATGTGTGCAGGAGCGCATGTGGCTATTATACAAACTGTCTTTTCTGTGTGCACTGGCAAATACACCTGCCAGTTTGTTTTCATCAAGGGTATCATTTATGTCACAACTCTCTTTATGCACGTCAAAACAAACAAGGTCCATTTTGTGTCACAAAAACTAGCGGTAACTATGCAAAGCATTTGGCTTGGGTATTAAACTATATGCTCCCATTGAATTTTTGAATAAAAAAAGGCAAACGCATAAGGTAAACAAAGTAACATACATGTAGTTTGGAAATAACAGTCCTCAAAAGTTAGTAACGTCCTCTATATTTTATATAAATTGGAAAATATCTCCAAACCTTGCCTAGTTCAGAAAAATGTACATGTACTTGTGGGAACAAGGTCCATTCTAATGAAAAAAAATAACCAGTTCTTCCTAAATACATGTACAAACGATGGTTCGAAGTAATGTACAAGTATGTTAAAAAATCTCTCTACCAGTACTGTATGAGTTCACTTGGATGAGGGCACATTACCAAGAAACATACCGTTCACCCAAAGATCTTGTATAAAAGTAAATACTTGGGACGATTTTAAAATCAAGGTAAATAATATGCGACCCTGATGTATACAGTCAACAAAATTAGTATTTAAGGTACCAGTAATCTCAACTTTACTGATATCCAATGCTCGCATTTGTACACGAACATGAAAGCAAGACTGTTATTTTTCAGACCAAGTTATGCATACAAATCATACACTTAGAATTTAGTACATGTATCAAATCACTGCCTGCTTTTGTAACAACTACAACTAGGAAACTGCTCTCTCAAGTGACATCAAAAGCGGACTGTAGTAAATTTTTTAACCAATTCAGGCCAGATGACATGTTAACATGCAGGTACAGTGTATTTTCTGTGCCAGATACTGTAGAAATTTCAAACATGTCACTGCAATTTCTGTATATATACATGTACCAGTGGATGACATCCACTAGTAAACCCATTCCCACATGTGATTCCTAAATATACATGTACATGTACCTGTGCATGAATATATCGTGTTTGTACACACAGGCTTGAACTAGCCTATGAAGGTTGAGCTACAGCCCTCACAGGGCTGTTCTCCACAGGCAGGCAATGTACATGTACAAAATATTGCTTCACAACACTCTCGAGGACTGTTAAAAAAGCAACAATGTAGTACAAATGCTATACAAGTCTTGAATAAATTACCACCTGTATTTGTTAAGCCCAATTACAATGTAAAACTAAAAAGTCAGTGTTTGGGCCAAAAATAATGCCATCTGTACATGGTTAATAATCAGGGCAAAATGCTTAGACCTACATGTACTTCAACACTACTTTCTGATAAATAAAGTTGGCGTATTAATTCACAGGGGCTGCATACATGGTGAATACACACTTACCAGTACATGTACAAATGCACATGCAGCATGCAATAAAAAAGTTTTCAACTCAAGGCATGTACATGTATCAGAAATTGCTAAATGAGTGTCAATATTACAGCTCATAATCCACTTGTGACACTAGTAGATGGAAGCGTTATGAGATAAATATGACACAGTGGTTTGCCTTTGCCTTTTATGAGTGTAACTTAATATGATATGCACATGTACATTTGTAATTGACGCATGAAAAGTAGTTTTCTTAAAAAATTATAGGAAAATTCATCAAATCTTTTTTTAAACCTAGAAATAGGACAGAACCTACATGTAACTGTAAGAAATATACCAAGCCCAAGAGGAATCCATTATCTCTGACCTGGTGCCTATTTCAAAGACTTTTTCATGCTGTTTTGCAATAAACCTGTTTAGATTTGTTTTTCAGTGATACATGTACTTTTTTAAACTAAACTATTGCAAGGTCCCTTTAAAGATTCTCCTCAAACACTGATACAGCTAAAATGTGGACCAAAACGACAAGTACACGTAAAAGTAAATGACAAATGCATTGGCTTTTTATGGAATTTTGAAATTATACGCACAAATAAATATTGACTTTATAAACATCAAATCAAAATACAGAGGCAGTCTTGCGTAACTTCCAGTCCTTACAGTGGGATTGTTTCTTCTTGTGTTACACTAACATACCTTAGATTGAGTAGAACATGCCACTGCTCTTTCTTGAAAAACATCCCAATTCAAATATATGAACTTCGAGAACCTGTATGCATCAAACAAAACACCACATAGACATGTACACTGTTAAAAGACGTTAACATCAACCTGTGAAATGCATTAGGAAGAATGCATAAATTTAATAAATGGTAAATGAACTTCACAATGACTTGTCGTCCGTCTGTCCTACAGGAGGTCCCTTTGACCTCTGCTCTGTGGACAGTAGGATTGTCTGGCCATTTGCAGGACATCCCTCAAGTAGCAGGAGGTAGAGGGAGACTACCAACATGCAGCTTTGCAGTCTGCAATGGAAACATCTCGAGAGTAAGACCAAGATGCAGATACTGCTCTTACATCATGAACCCTGATGTAGTGTTGATTATGTTCATCAGAGCTTGACAGCCAGACTGGATTAGCAAACCTAATGGCCGAAGCCGGCCAGTGGGCAATAGTGTACTGACACCGCTGAAAGGTGTGGTCTTATGATAGTGATAAGTAGTGGGGTTATCGTGCCTCTCATACTATTGTTTTAGTTTACCACTTCAGGACATGAACAGGGCACCAAAGTTTATCCGAATTGTCTCCAGGATGTAAGGAAACAGAAGGTGCAGAGACATCAGAAGGATCATGTGAGGGAGTCTGCTCCTTTGTCAGGAAGCGAATCGTAGGAACAAGGTGAACACCATGTGGCTCCCAACGTAGACGGCCTTCGGCAATTGGGAGAGCCTGTAGATCATTGTCTCCTCTGGAGGTAACCATTGTCATGAGAAAGGCCACCCTGATACTAGTATGCATAAGGGAGGCATAATTTAGGGCTCAAAGGAAGGACCTACATGTACTGTACACGTAAAAGCATCTAGAAAACCTAGCTTAGGTTTCAGACCAATTTCCCGACAAAGGGACACTGGATGAACATACCACGCAAAAGGTGATGGAGTGCATTGCAGAACATAACGAAATGCCAAATTCTGCTGTCATAAATCCAACAGGTGGGTAGATGATGTCCCTGTGTGACCATGCTAGAAAGTCCCATCGAAAGAGAGATCATTGAATAATACCCAACAAGTCAGAAGCAGATCACCAGGAGCCAGGTGAAAAAATCCCTGACCTTGGATAGTGGAGGATGTCCAGTCTGGCTTGGAGGACAAACAGATGGTGAACTAGAATCCTTGTTCGTCAGGGGAACCATGGCTGGCGCATCAGGAGTATCCAACAGTGATCTCACTCTATCTTGAAGAGGACTAGTGGCATTAACGGGATAGACAGAAAGGCATACCCAAGCATGCCCATCCAATCACACTGTAGGGCATCTGTGGCTCACACATGGAGGGAGAGAAACTCTCACGCAGAATACCGGAAATTGAGCGTTGCTTGAAGGAGCAAAGAGGCTGATGTGAGGCTGCTCTATCATCCTGAGGAGATTGCGTCTATCACTACAGTGTCGGACCCTGCCGTGTGGATTGTCTGTGGGTTGATTGCATGATTCCTTGTCCTTTCCGTTAATGTGGCTTGGTTGGCAGTGTGAAAGAAGAGGCAAGGAGGCCGCAAGACTTACTCAAAGACAGAGCCCCCATTATCATCCAGAACCTTACCATGACTGTAGTGAGGTCTGGACGGAAATGAGAACTCTCTATTCACATCCAAGGAATTTACCTCAATGAGAGAGAAAGAAATGAAATAGCTCAGAGACCAAGACAAAGATTTCATGTAAGCTAGATAAAGTTGGTTTCAGTCTTTATCAAGCAAGGAGTTCCAAACAGAAGGCTTGCTGAGTCGGATACATAAGTTGTCTTTAGCAGCAGTATATGACTCTAGAACATGCGGCAGGGAGTTGAAGACGTTGTCAAAATGAAGGTAAGTGTTGTCCTGTACCTGGCACGGCCTCTGGCACCCTGGCTGCAACAAAAGACTTTGATCATTTCCACACGTGTGTAAAATAAAAGGCCGGTGTAGAGGAGTCCGGTCGCGTGACGTATGCAAAATGAATAACTGAAAGAGCATCCAAAGGAGGTCACTCTGAGAAGAAAAGAACTCATTCTAGTACATGTTAACCTTGACAAAAGGAAACACTAATAATTTCCACTTACAGAAAGGATTCTGTGGACAAAAAAAAACACTTCAATATCCGGAATCATGCTAAGGCTTAACAACCGAAAGCAGTAGACTGACGGAGTACCCCTCTTTGTTTTGATCACGCTTGGTGTAACAGAACCTGAAAGTAAAAGGTCACGCAGCGAGCTTCTGGAACCCTAGTACGGTCCTCCTATGGGATGTTTACGTTGGGCCGTCCTATCACATTCGATAATTTTTGAAAGAATAATTCCTAACTGAAACCACCCTTTGAAACACTCATGTTGGAATTTTACCTTTGTCCTCCTCAAGTAATATTTAGGAAAAGTTACATTGAGATAAGTAAAAAACAAGTTTTATTAACGACCTTTCACTTCCGGCGATATCGTACCTACATGTATGTCTCCATGTTCATGCACGTTTGTTTTCACTGCCCGTGCTTACGTGAAAAGAAGATTGTACAATGTTGCAAAGATTTATCTGCCTGCAGTCAATGGGTTCCAGATGCCGTTAAGCTGACATCGAGCAGTTGTTGTCAACAAAGGTTAGATAAAAAATTAGAATCTTTTGTAATTGAAGTAGAATATTGCTTTAGTTATACTACTTATAAATTATAAGACTGTGTAAAATATTTTAATCTGTTTTTATATCAATTTTTACCAATGGACTACTATAAAAGTTCAAACCGTAAATATTCATCTGTGTATGAGACTGCCACCTCACACTGTTCTTCATGTATTTTAGATTTTCGGAAGTGATGGGTCAATATTTGGCAGGATATTTCTCTTTTAGGTCAGGTGATTTTTCAGTTTCTATAAATTGATATACTAGCAAATATTTTCCCAAACCCCTTTTCCGAGTTGGATTTTTCAAGAAGTAACTGAAAGGAAAAATTCTACAAATTCTAAAACTTTTGCACGTTAGTTTTCCTATCCAAGGGTTCCGGAAGCACGCCATCAGGGGTTAACTTTCAGGCTCCATTTGAAGAGACAGTCCAGGTCACCGTCACTACAAAGAAGTGGGCTCACAGTAGGCCTACTCTTGACAGACCTTGTAACAGTCACAGTCGACAAACTTTTGACACGCCCATATTGAAGTAAACACCCACCTGAACAGTGTGCATGGCATGGCAAGGCCGCCGTTGTACACTGTGGGAATAGATTTGCAAACTTTCTTCCGAAGGGCCCCTTGGGGAAACTCCAGATTACAGAGCGACAAGGGACGTGTAAAAATCCTAACAGCTTGAAGACTGCCAGCTTTGGATGCCTGGAGATGCGGACTGGGGAGACGTAGCGGTGGGTCTGCATCATGATGGTGAATCCACTGGGGCAGAGCTAAATATGATGGGAAGACTGCCCGGAAAACGTTATGCGCTCATTCCTGTCTGGCTGCCTGGTGACGTAGTCTTGATGCCAGTAGGTTTAGGCCTGTAGCAGTCATTAGGGGTCACAGGTTAGGCAAGGATTCACTTGCCCGTGGCCTGGGCGGGCCTACCGGTGGCAACGAGAGCTGCCCCAGAAGGCTGTGACAGAGACTCTGTGTTGGGTCCTGGGGTCGGTGTACTGATGGTGTGCTCACTGGGGCAGCGATCCATGAAGTTGGCCCAGAAAGTGCTACACTCTGGATTACATCTGGATGCCCATGCCACAGATACATGTATGTGGGACATCAGGGGGCATATGCATATAATGGTCGCCTGGATAACTGGGGTCATGGCTCATGTTCATCTGAGGAGCCTGATGGACTACCGTAATACATGAACAGTTGAAGACAGATAAGAAGAGTAATGATAATACAAGGTCATATTAACCACTTCCTGTCGGGGAGCCCGGTTTAGGGCACTGTGTGTTTATCGTGAGGCCGAGGGCTCCAAAATCGGACAAAGGGAACTGGGCCTTGTAACTCGTGAGGCCGAGGGCTCCAAAATCGGACAAAGGGAACTGGGCCTTGTAACAAAGGGAACTGGGCCTTGTAACAAAAGACTGTACACGGAAGAAAAGACCAGGCTGCTGGGCATTACCGACACTTTTTCGCTTTCAACAGTGGAGATAACCCAGCCTTGTTTTGAAACAGTATACCATGGTTTGGGGCATTTAGTGCGAGCAGATTACCACCGGGGACAAAAGCGCTCCACCATCGCAGCGATGAGCCACACAGCACTGCTGCACACTAATCTGGCCCCTACTGAAAAGAGGACAGGAGCGCACTATGCCAGGTTCATGAACAAAAGAAAGTTACATAACACCACACAATCTAGGGCATCAACAGATTTTGTTTGTCAGACTAGAGCGTCCACCAGACAGTAATTCGTGTGGGTGTAAATGTCCATTTATTAAAATGATATATTTTTGAAGAATTTTTAAAGCTGAAAATCTTGAAAAAGTCCCGATTATGTGCACTGCATTTTTCAAACCCCCCTGCAGCAAGTGGTTAATAATAAGGACAAGTTTTGGTCACAAGTCTTTGTCTTTCTTTGTTTTTCATGACTGATAACACAAAGTATGTTTCAACTGTTATAACAGTATTCCACTATTGTTGTCTCGGAAACATTCTTTCCGAAGGCCCTAGATGAAGGGCAGGTGACGAGGAGATGCACAGTGTGTATTACCCGGCATTGTATATATACCAGGGCCCCTCCAGATAACCAAGAGGCAGTGATCCAGTAAGGCAAAGAGTTTACTTCACATCTGGGAGCCCCACAGCAAGAGTATCTGAAAGCAAAGGCTCAAGATGTGAGGTGGTCGGTTAACCGGCAAGGGCAAGGTTGGTGTCTTGCATCCGAAGGGAAGCTGACGGAAGACCATGAACCTGGAACATGTCATACGGGGTGAGGACTCCAATGGAATCAGTGTAATCTTCAACCGAAGACACGGTCACCTGCTTGGACTGAAGCAAGGCTGTGCTGTAGTCAGAGCTGTGCCCTGTAGATTGACGGATGGTCAGGTAGAGCAACGTCAAGCTGGAGCGGACTCCGACATGTGCAAAGTTCTGGCTAGAGACTAGAATATCTCCAAGAATGAACGATCAAGCTGAAGTTCTTGAGAAATTGGCACTGGAGATTCCCGTCATGCTGTGTGTCATTTAAACAAGCCATGACTGGTGTCCTTCTCTGGCAGAGCAGCTGATGGTAGGCCGAGTGCTTGAATCATATCCCACTGAAAAAGACAGAGGTGGTCCTTGGACGGAGGGGAGGGCACTGATGGTATCAACTTCCTCTTCGGAAGACAATGCTGGTTGTTGGTCGGGAACAGGGTCGTGCCTCGTTCTGAACCACGCGCTGTCCCATGGGGAGCAGTTTGCTCCAGCTAGGGAATGCCTGGATGGTGTGATTCCAGTGTGGAATCCTGCCCAGTGTCACAGAGGCTCGCAGTGGAGGACAGTAGAAGGGGCTGATCCACAATGAACGGGTCGGGGGCGGTGGAGGCTGGTTGTAATTTGTCATCAAAGTGACAAGCTATGGAGGTATGGCATCATTGATGGAGCAAAAGGTGGCCTCTGAAGGTTGGTCATGCTGACCAGAGCAATGCCTCTTCTTGGGTCTGGGAGAATTCGATGAAAAAAAGGAGCGCTTATTACTTGGCGGCGGGCGACCCAGCAGTGGAGGCGACAAACGGGGCGGAGGGGGGGAGGAGTGCCCAGAGAGTGTTCTCAGCTGAGGGCGGTGGAAACTGTAGAATCCTAGGCCAAGGGACGAGGAGAGGTGAGGTGGCTTGATGATGCCAAGTTGAAAGCCGAATCTTCTGATTTGGTTCTATCACTTATTCTAATCTCAGGACTGTCATACACATGTTCAGTACAGCTGTAGTTCATTTTAGTGATTTTTAGATATGATGATAAGAAGGTATGATCCATATGACCATTCCAAACTCCATTCCATTCAAACGCACAACGGCACACACCACAAATGTTTCGGTATGAGGATTTAGGGTCACCATGCACAAAATAAAGTTAAAAATAAAAACATTGAAATTCCTGCATTTTGTTAAATGAATGTTCATCTCCTGTCATGTTTCATCTTTCACGTAGTCCTCGCAAAATGAAAACCAGTTTTCCTTTAGTCATCGCCTAAAAACCACGTGACATGTGGTATGGCTACACCACTAGCTGTTTTAATGAATGGACCATGACGGGAACCATTTTAATACAGTAGCATGACACATCATATCTGTAGTCGGCAACAAATGTTGCGCAAGCATTTTTGAACATAATTGAAGACTTTCTGCATGTTGTCGATTTGCACGTTTAATTTTTTGTTATAGTGATATTTTAGGTCAAATCTCCCAGCTTTGTAGCCATTAATTATCATGCAAAGTTTTCTACGCAGAGTTTCCAGTGTCGCATAATGTTACACGTGCTCGGCAGACAGTCTACATAGCCACCCATAGACACATGCACATTACATGCAATGTTCATGTAAGCTACCCTTGAACAATACAGACTGCACCATGTGTTGGCCACTGTTCCATCGTGAAAATGATTTTTTTCTCAGTTATTGTCATCAGTAGTAAATACATTTCTTTTATTTAAAACAAATATTTGATATGAATGTTTGGTACAGCTGTGTTTGTTATAGCGGCGTTCCACTGTATTTTCAGCACTTACAAAAATTCTGTGTCATACTACTGCTCACAAAAAAGCCTTACCATACTTACAAGTGATGTTGACCCAAGAAGATCTTCTGCAAGATTCGGCCAGTCTTGAGATCAATGCGGATGAGGTGTTGGCATTTAGTAAGACCAAGTATATAAGGTCTGTGTCCAGCATTTGCCACAGGTAATGTGTTCTGTGTAAGAGAAGGCAAGACATTTTACAACATGTAATAGAAGAAATCACACAAGAAATCATTGCAATGGTAGCACCACTGAATTGATGACACTGTCTACAAAGTAATATTACCTAAAAACCGTACATGTAGCTATATGATACCTGTCAGGAACAAGGCAAACCGACACGATAATTGCATTTGTCACAAGACAAACACTGCACTGTTTCAAGGACCTTTTTTCCAGAAAGCTTCGCAATAGCCATTAACTCAAAATATATTGGTAAGTTTTTTCCACCTGGTGCCGGAGGGTGCTCAAGTATACCAGGACATCACAAGTACATGTTTTGAAGATTACTGTTTGCCTATAGACTAACACTGTTGAAAGTATTAAGGTTGATATCTATTACCAACTTTAACTAATAAAGCACCTCCACAATGACCAAGTTGTGGGAAGTCATGTTTGATGTTATACGGACTTTCAAAGATTAAATTGATCAAACTTCAGGTGCTTGTAATTTGGCACCTCAAGACATCATCATGACGCCATGACTCTGTTTACATCTTTGGATAATGGTCTACGTATCTGCCAAGTTTGAAGAGAATAGGGATTGTTTCTAAAGGCCAAAAGTCATGTGCAGAATGAAAAGTTGTGTGAAATTGTATGGGATTTGGAATGGAAGAAAAAAAGGGGGAAAAAAGGCAAAAATCTTAAAGAAAACAAGATTTATGTACCGGTATTTGGGCCTGTGCCCGAAACAGCTAAAAATATTCTAATGAAAACAAGAGCTGTTTTGGCCAGTGCCCAAAACACCTACCAAGTGCACTGATCAAGTTCTGAACACAAAATATACATGTACATTGCTGTGTACTTTAAAGCCGAACAGGGAAGTCTTCAAATTTTTGACATCTAGGGTTTTGGAGGTAAATTGGCCACCTAAAAACCAATATACTGTACAATGAATTTACCTGCTGAAATCAACACAAGAAAATAAGAGGTCATTTCTTTCCACAACCAACTGGGCTGATTCCAGAAACATGCAAGGTCAAATTTGTTTTGGGTTGATGATGTAACAGCAAGAAAGGCACAACCGGCATTCATGAAGCATGCATGAAGATACATGTAAATGTAAGCAGGCTTCGTTGTGACCCAAACGCATTAAAATGAGTTTTGATGATGTGCAGGAAATGCACAGTATACATACATGTAGACATTTAGGTAACAGAAATAGAAAACATTCAGTTCACGTGATGTATCTTAAAATAACAATAAATATGTATGTACATGTTTTATAGGCGCCCCCACTTCTAAGTTTCGCTTGTTGGTGGTCTTTTTTTTTGCGCGCTTGTGCATGGCGCCTTGTACCGGAACAATGGAAGGTACTGACAAGGCCAGTTTTGATCCTTGTGGGGTAATAAAATGGTGTCCCACAAGAATTTCATGAAATAGATATTTCAAACTTACTCAAAAAGGAGGAATTTTCAAGTGCCATTCATCTGTTGCAAATTGAAGCGTTTTATATAGGGACATACGGTCGAAATGTCAACCCAGGAAACTGAATTTGGTTGAAATGGCAGTGATTTGAAATTTTTTCTGTGTTGTGTGGGAGTTTTGTACACGAAAACAAAGGAAATACGCCACAAGTATACATGTACATGTGTGTGAGTTTGTTTCTGCATGCAATTGGGGACCCTGAACAATAGAGGACAATAAGGTCCCCAATTGACAACTGTGTATAAAACATATGGGTGGTCTTCTAAAAAGTTCAAGTACAAACAAAAGAGGAACAATAGTTGGTCCCCGCTTGCAGGCAAATACATGTACACACTTGTGTGTGAGTACTGAATATTTTAAATACACTGTAATATTCGGCATACAACCTACGGCTTATACGTTGATTCTCAAGCTCAAGGTGACCATGATTCTGCATATTAATTAGTCAATCTCTAGTCACACATATATGTACCATCAGGAAGTTCCAGCAAATATCACATTTCAGGTGTTTCAAAGCGTTTGAAATCAATGTATTTTTGTCAAGTTTATTCAATACAGGACAGTACCGATTGAACTCAGACTTGACTCCTCAGGGTTTAAAAAAGAGACCAGTGAGATACAGGTGAGTGCCTCTTTCTCAAGTTCACACAATCACTCTTATCCCTCGGATAAGATATGGCTTCACTTGAGCAACCTGGCGGGTGGATCCCCAAAGTCTTTGGTGTGGTTTCAATTCCACAGTGCAGTATGTACAGTACTGGCTCCTAGAGATTTCAAATCCTGGCATAAACTGTGGGCTGAAAGTGCCTTACATATTCCTTAATTACCGCTAACGCCTTCAATAAGCCACTTGCGAGTTAAATTTGAATAAAATCTGGTATACTGTGTTATCTGATTGCACAGAGACATAACAAATTGAATTCCCTAGACTAAAGACACTGTTGCTATACCTCTTATTTCAGGGCAAGCTTTTACATAGCGACCACCGTCTCTGGAATGAACTGGCTCCTTTGTGCCGTTCTTATCCATTGAGAACAGTGTATTGTTGCAAGGCGTCTCTTATGTAACTATGCAAAAGCTTGCCCCGAATCATGAGGCATAGCAACAGTGGTTTTAGTATGGAGAATTCAAGTTGTTATGTACACATGAATTTAAAGAACTCAGTGAACCAGATTTTATTCAAATTTAACTCGCAAATGGCTTATTTGAATAGTCAATCTTGACCAAAAGATATTCTCAGCAACATTTCAGTGAGCTCTTCAGGAGCTACCAGAGGTGGCAACAAGTCATTTTTTTGCAAGTCTAAGTCAAGTCACAAGTTATTATATGCAAGTCAATAGGTCAAGTCACAAGTCATTATATGCAAGTCCAAGTCACAAGTCATTAGGTCAAGTCACAAGTCATCACAGGGCAAGTCAAGTCACAAGTCATTTGGTCTAAATACAAGTCAGGTCACAAGTCTCTTTGTCAAAGTACAAGTCAAGCTGCACATTTTTTTGTCCAGCTGTAATGAGCAAAAAGAACCAAGCGTCAACTTACAAAGTTACGAGTTATGAGTTTCGGACAGCTGAACACCTTTTCTCCAAATTATTAGTGAAATAATAGTGAAATGGGGCTGCAGTATCACAAGCAGGGCTGACCCCAAAGTTGATTGGGATGAATGTACAGTGTACGAGTTAACCGGGCAATGATTCAGTCAGTCAGAGAAAATCTTGATTAGTTGCATCACAGACAAATTTATTCAGCAAATAAGGCGAAATCAAGGTGGAATCATAGAAATCACAGTCATGAAGTAGAAATATATCCAAGACAAATCCCACAATTAAATCAAAGGAGAAACCTCAGAAAAATCCCCAGGAAAAATCCAAAGGGAAATCCCCAGGTGCAGGGACCGCATGACCTATACATGTACATTCTGCCTAAAATTGATAGAGAAAAATAAGGAAACCCCGTAGATGCATGCTAGTGACTACAAGCATGCAATTGACAAAAACCTATATGTACTTCAATCCATGAAAGGTAAGGTTCCTTTCATAGTTTATTCAACCATTACATTATGCAATAAACTTCATCATTGAAAACTGTAGTTTGTTACGAGAGTCTTTTTGAAATTCCTGAAACCAGATTCAATCACTGAATATATGTGTACAAGAACAAAACAACTTCTTCTGAATGTTTGAGCATGATGAGTAATACTACTCTATACATGTACATGTATGAATGTCAGACATTGGGCAGAAAACAAGTTGAGCATTTGTCAAGTATAGGACAACTTGCCTACTGTACATAAATGCAGTAAACTCACTGAAGAGGCGAGATCTCCGTGAGGAGGTTTTGGGTGTTGCCATGCAATAACTTTACTGGTTTATTGCCATCGTTTGCCAAGTATAAAAAAAACCTGTTTGAACAACAAATCAAATTAATCTTTTTAGGAAATTGCACATAATGATCTTTCCATTCTGAAAATTAATTACACAAAATTCAAACAATTGGGACAGTAGCTCTGACAAGCGCATGCACACGAATATGCATATTGCTTATGTTACATGTACATGTACTAACCGTATCACCCCTGGTACAATGCTGACATTATGATTCACAATTTCCCTCCGCAAAACAAGACATATAATAAATAACGTTTCATACCAGCCAGTGCCCAAGGGCCTCCCGGAAGCTTCTCCAGTCGCTGACGGATGTCTCTTTCTCTACAGCCCCCACAAACCCCGCAAAAGACGCCAACAATGTGGCTTGACTGGTGACAGCTTGGGGCTTGGCAATGTGACTCTAAGAAATCCCGGGAAACCCCCTGACAATACTCCTTGTTCAGTATTACATCGCGCATAATTTCTAATGATTCTCCAAAATGAACACTTACAAACTCAATACATATAATCAAAAATACACCTTGTTAACTGTTAGACTTGCTGTAATTACCGAAAACCCTAGAATATAATAAAGTGTGTAAAAAGAGCATATTATTTAATTATGCATCCTTGACGGATGACGGATTCGATAGATGGTGGAGGGAAGACCAGTAAAATGGAACAGTGCCCCCATATGTAAACAACTTCCTTTGCCTTGGTGTGAAACAGATAATTGAGATACTGTACATTGCAATATTTGGGATCTGGACTTTGTTTTTGGTCTTTTCCCTACATAAACTTACAGCTGTTGAGAGATCAAAACATCTCTCTGTATACAAAAAAAGGAGATCATCTCAAGAACATAAAATATGCCCACTTGACAAGTATTTACCAAAACTGTATATGAGCCCGGACCACATACTCCTTACCATTACATGAAGGGTAACTTGTATCAACTATTTTGACCGATGAAGTTTCACATAATCAAGTTTTGCACAAATAAATCAAGTAGATGGCCATTGGAACTAGGGACCAAATTAAGCCAGTGACAATGACAATTGTGGATCCAATCCACTCTGAAATTATTACCTCTGAAGAACTTCAAAATAACTGGGTAAAAAAGGTCAAGATACATGTACATGCTATTTTATTTCAATAAATGACCTGGGCCAATTAGAAGCGTGATTGTCATGCTAACCAAAAGACAAGTAAATACCACTCCAAAACAATATACATCACAAGATGTTTTGGCTGGTAAACTGATTCGTCAAGCAAGGTCTTTTCACGCTTAAACAATTTTTTTTATTTAAGTAGCGCCATGAAACTGGCCCCTGCATTAACATGCAATAGTCACAGACTTGGTTCCCTGGCCAAACTACATGTAACTTAATTTTTTGAGGTTCCCTCTAATTACAGGTATGTCAGTATTTGATTTCTCTCCGGACTCTGTCAGAATCTGATTGACAAGTACATTAACACACTTGAATACATGCATGTACAGTAGGGCTGCCTACTTCTGGGGCAAGGCAAGCCAGGTTGGCTTCCTAGTCTGTGTACATCATGGCTCCTGCCAAGATACATGCAAGTGAGATTCCCACCGAGGGTCAGGTTATGGCTATATGTATAAATCAGTTTAACTGTAATTTCAAAAATTATATTTATTGAAGAAAAAAAAGCAAAGAGCTGAATGTCCTTTTCAGGAACATAGTATTTAAAGCATTTGAATCCTAACTGAAAGGACCTTTAAACTTAAACAAATTTTCAGCTATTTGTAATCTTTTAGATTTTAATAGTAGTAAATGTCCATGTGGCCTTGAGAGCAAGTCTAATTTGATGTTAATGCTACATGTTCCTGGCACTTTTCTGTTACCGTCTTCCAACTTAAACAAATTATTGAATGCTTTACTTATTAAGAAAACAACACAAAACTCCAAAGCCTTCAATATAATCCCTATTCAATTACACAATGACTTCTAGTTATTTAGAATAAAGGAGTCCTGCATATTTTTGATGCCCATTTTCTCTACTTACTAGTTCAGCACAACAGTGAAGATTAGCCTCCAATTTGTAGATGTGGGACTTGTCTGGTTTCTTATATATCACAGTTGGCATGGCATTTAGTCCATTCCTGTTTCCAAAACACATGCAATATTAATCATTTCTGTACAAAAATAAACTTGGCTGAAAATTACTGAAAATTAAAGGGCCCCTTTTTTTCCAAACTTACACACACAGTACTACCGGTATATAGCAAGCTTACCGTTTAATTTAAATAATACAGTATGTGTGCCTGCATGTACATGTAATATGCACATGTTCTTGAACTGTATTGAGTATACACAGAGTTTGTTGTTTTGTTTTAATGGCACTTCCAACTACTCAGGCTATTTGCGCCAATAGTTATATGTTTATTCACAACCTCTATGAATCTGCTTCACATTATGGAGTTAGGAAGAAGGTCCAGTTTTAGAGGCAGGAGGAAACTGGAGTACCCAAAGAAAACCTGTGAGAGCGAGAAGGGACTGGAAACCAAATGCACTTAAAGCCTGGGCCAAGCCAGGACTCAAACCCGGGCCTCATAAAGCGAGGAGAGAACTGCTACAATACCCATCCCATTACACAGCGTTTAACCGCTTCACGCCGGTATCGGGTACCTTATGTTAAGCGGGGAGCCCAAAATCGGAAAACAGAGCCCGGTCTTGTAGGAAAAGACCGCACTCTGAACAAAAGACCAAGCTGCTGAGACTTGAAGAACATTTTTTCAGTTGTCAACAACAGAGGTAATCCATACTTTTTTTTTTAAACACTATACCACTATTTGTGGCATTCAATATGAAAGATTACAACCACGGATGAAAACTCTCCAGTAATTTTGTGCTGAGCAACACAATAACACTGCACGCTAATCTGTCCCCACTGAAATAGACGCCAGCAACTAAATGCTAGAGTTTCGAAAACAAAAGAAAATTACGCAACACCACACAATCTGGGCTCTCTTTACAAGGCAGCAGGCCTGGCTGAAATACACAGGCATCAATAGAGGTTGCCTGTCAGATTAAAGTACAGGTACATGTACCGGTAGTCACCAGACAGTCATTCATGGGGGTGTAAACATCCAGTAAATAAAGTAATGAATTTTTGAAGAATTTTGAAAACGGAAGATCATTTTTGTGCACGGCCATTTTAATTGAACCCGGCGTGAAGTGGTTATTCTATCAGTATTGTAGCGAAATAGTGGGGTGGTAATTATTTGCAGTTAAGCATTTATATCCCATAATCATAACCCGCGCACGGGTATATAAGGAGTGCGCGCGAGCTACTCGCGGTCTTTTCCTGTCTTTCTGTTGTTCGGTCACATTTGTGCGTGACA